TCATATACATCTGTAAACCTGTTCTTAATCCTGCGGGGCTCTTGCTCCATTGTAGAGGAAGTGCTACTTGCACTGTGAGATTAAACCCCTTGAGGCAATTGTTAAATAGCTGTGCCTTTTCTTTTTCTTTTAATGGCTGTGGATAAAATAGCTGGTCTTAAAGAAAACAAAGGAGACAGGACAATGAGTCTGCAGGTGCTTTGGTGTCAACCGTCCCCTGACCCCCCTCCCGCAATCCAAGTGATGCCTTCCCATCCGTATAAACATGCTGATGACCAGTGCTACTTTTAACAAGGCATAGGGCGCACTGGTCATTAGAGCCTTTGCCATTCTGTTAATGGGACAGTGAATGATTCGATCATGAAGGCTAATGCTAACCTAAAGCTATTAGCATAGCTCTAGGTCTAGGGAAAGATCAGTGGCTGATTTTCACGGTTAAGCAATGCTTGGTGAATTTAAAAAGGGAAACAGCAAAAAGTGTAGAAGGATTATCCTCTCATAGGATGGCTTTATTTTAAATAAATTACAGCCAAGTCTCCCATTTTACCCCAAACATCCTCTCTGAAGCCAGCTTAACTGAAAGCAAGACCTGTGTCCCTCTGGATAGGTCCTGCGGAGGTACTGCCAAGATGTAAATGAAAAAGCTATGAACTCCAGTACAACAAGGACTCATAAAGGATATGGCAACAGACCTCTAACAGTTGCTGGTGGTGGCTTTGCTATAATGTGAGGGCATCACTATGGGATCCTGTTTTATGGCCATTATCACAACATAATGTCATATAGGCTGTGTTTTGAGTTTATTAGTAGATGTGAAGTACCTATCCTCACTGCAGCCTTTTACTGTAGTAAGAGCAAAGCATCCTTCTGATGTGTTCTTGTTTGCTCAGAGAGTAAGTTCTGTAGGGGGAAAAGAGTTGCCCTTGGGGATATGTTAAAGGTCTGGAGTGATTCCTCAGCCTGTTCAGTTTAAAGACAGCAGCAGAAATCATGCTCTGATTTGTTTTATTATTGGAGATGTTTTCAGCCCTGTGAAATGAGCACTTGGGGTTCAGAGTTTTTTTTAATAGTTTGCATCATTTTTAGCCTTTTGTGAAAAGCAAACTTTCTCACTCTTTGCTAGTGAAAGTGAGCTCTGAGCGAGAGCTCAATTGCAGCAGTTCAAATGAATTGCCATTAGCTTGAATTTATAAAATGCTATGGAGATAGGATGCATTGTGGGCCTGATTCTGCATGGTGTGGGCATCCCCTGTGAGGTACTGAATGCTTTCAACTCCTGTTAACATCATGGGGAAGTGAGGATGCTGAACCTCTCGTACTGGTACTCAGCACCTCACAGGATCAGCCTCTCCTAAATTGCTGATGGTGATTAGTTTGTAGTAGTACAGGATCAGTGATGAATGCATGTCCTATGCTGTAATAATTTTACTTCAGAAAGGGAAATAAAATATATTTTAGAAAAAGTACTATTAACTGCCAGATTTTGTTACCGTTACTGACATTAAATGGTACCTTTCTCGACAAGTCATCTTGTGGAGGCCAGTGAGATTACTCATGGAGTAAAGCACTCTTTGACATGAGTAAGGTTATTGGAATCTGGCTTTAAGGTCAAAGATGAACCCAAATCAAATCTCCTGCTACAAAGGGGAGGAGTGGGTTGGAATCCAATTGCAGATCCAGGTCTGAATTGCACAAATCGCCAGTTTCTTTAGAATGGGTTGAATCCATCCCCTAGAACTGATACTTCCAACTCCGAAATTCAGAATGTTAGAAATCCCAAACTAAAATGAGTGGCTTGGGCCCATTTAAGTCAGCTCTCAAGTCGGGAGAGACTTAAACACTTGCTTAACTTTTGACTTCAAGGGGACTTCCGCACATTCTTAGCGTTAACCTTTCCTGACTCAGGGTCTGAGGCTGGCTGAAAGTTTGTGCTATTGCATCGCTAAGCTTTGGAAAGAAAAACAAAAGTTAGCGAGAAGAAGCTGGAGTGTGAAGCTGCAGGGAAAATGGAATCGGGCAGGAAAGAGGATGGGTTGGTGAGAGGTGAGCTAGTGTGTTTGTTTATGTGAGAGAGAACTCACAGCCAGGAGGGAGTCAAAAGCTTAGTCAGAGGAGACAAACCACATGGGTCAAGGTCATAGGAGCTGGTTGCCCTTCTTTCTCTGTTTCAAATATCTTTATTGATTGAAGATGAATAAAACAAGCCCCACTCCCACAATCAAGCCCCACTCATGAAGCCAGTCTTGGAAAGAAACCTCCTCTGTGTTTGTCTTTCTCTGTTTGCTGTAGCGTTCATCTCACTCTGTTCTGTAGTCTCCTTTCCAAGCTGCGTATGATCAGCACCCTCTTCCCACCTTGTTGGGTCTGCTCCTGCACCACAGCGCTGCCTGGCTCTGCTCCGTTTTCTGCCATAATCCCTGGATAATGAAGATGTCACAATTTTCCAGAGTTCCACATTCCATTTGGCCTTGTATGCGTTTCATTCTACGAATGGGCATTTTTGGCCAACTTTATCTTTTTTTATTTTAAGCAGCGTTTGCAACCAATCCGTTTTGCTGCCCCATCTGTCTTCTTTCCCCCCATCATTCTCTCCCCACATGACTTCCTTTCTAACTTCAGTGATTTACATCTGTCCAAAGAAGACCACATGAATAAAATGTTAACCATTTTAGCATCTGATCCAGCAGTCCTTACTCGGATACAAGTCCCATTGACCTACCATGGCAGTTTTGACTGAGTAAGGACTTCAGGTTCATATCCATAATCTTTCCTTCGACCTCCGTGTATTGTGTTTTAATGATCCTTCCTTTTTTATGTTGCAATACTGAGAGTTTTGCCACTTTTAATTAAAGCATGTTGCTTGCTGAATCAACCTGTTAGTTCTGCTTATAAAGGGTAGTTCCCATTTTTTTAATTGGCTTGCGTTCTACCCTTAAATGGTCACAGAAAAATCTGAATCGCCTGCAAAGCCTCCCTTGCAGGGTTGAAGCCCTCCCACCCATGGATGGACCTGTACACTGTTATTCTCTCATTTTAATCTCTGTACAGTATCTACCTATGACAGGGAATAAGCGCTGTGTGTGTGTGTGTGTGTAGCTTGAGGTGCTTATATAAAAATAAGCCTATATTAATGGTCTATATGTAAACACGTAAAGGATGAGCTGTCCAGTAGGTGAATTATAACATCATCTGTGGCTCATCCTGTCACCCTAGAACTCTCATTATCTGCAGTGGGAACTCTGGCTACCAAAAGAATAATGAATTGAGTTCCTAATGATTACAGTAGAGGGTCTGAGACTCAGGACTTGGGGGTTTTGTTCCTGGCCCTGCATCTAGCTTGCTGTGTGATTTTTAAGTAAATGGCCTAAATGTTCTGTGCCTCAGTTTCTCATCTGTAAAATACATAGAGAGGTTTATGATGAACAATTAATATTTGCAAAGAATGTTGAGGTCAGGGTGTGAAGTTCTATGAAGATTTAAAGTGGGATTATTCATTAAAATAGTGTTTTCTAGTTACCCCCGCCCCTCCCACATACATACACTCATACCCTTAAGTAACAGACATAATGGAATTGGAGCTACAGAAGATAAATATGAATAAGTTAAAATATTTCTGTGAAGGAAGTTGAAAGAATAATTTCTTTGGCATTCGTAAATAGTCAGTAATGGATGACCATGCCCACAGTAAATTTATTTGACATTCATAATTAGTCAGTAATGGATGACCATGCCCACAGTAAATTTATTTGACATTCATAATTAGTCAGTAATGGATAACCATGCCCACTGTAATTGAAAATCAAATTTTACAGTGGATTTATTAAGGGTAAAGAAATCTGTAACCTTATGTAATTCCTAAACTGAGTATATCATTTGCCATGAGCTAATTTGCAATTTCCTCTAATTTATTCATTAATTGAAGGAATTTTATTATTTTTAGGAGGTTCTTTTAACTCTCTGACTTGACACAGACAGCTGTGAGTATTTGCTATCTGAGCTGTGTTGGCTAGTTGGGACTGGTCAGACAGGTGAGATGGTATTATTTCTGTTCCCGTGGTTGAATTGAGAATGTCATTACTTCCAGTTTGTCTTCTCACTCCTGGTAACTTAAAACGCGTGACTTTGAAATTCAGTTCCCATGAACTTTCACGCAGTAAAACTTGATTGCATGAAGGTGTGTGGGAAGCAAATACTTGAGGCATGGCTGAAGCAAATTCATTGAGGGCCAGATTCTGATTCCCTACTCACATTACTCACAGCCCTAAAAATGCACAGTGATTATTTGTGGAATTGTTTTTAGTGTTCACTCAGCCCCACCCAGTCTTTCCTGTGCCATAAAGTTCTTTATTTCATTCTCTTTCACACATGCTATTAGATTGCATTTTCAGTAAACACTATATAGAGGCAAGGATCTTACATTTTTTTGTATGTAAGAACCCAGTGTTACAACTTACCTCCCTGGCATAGTAACATATGCAGCCAGCAGACTTAGAATAATGTTAAAGAGACTGTGGGCCTGATCCTATGCTCCCAGTGCACTGTCAAATCCTACTGTAGCCAATGGAAATTTGAGGTACATTGGGCATATGGCATGAAGCCTGTGTAACATGTTTATTAAGGTTTATATGCAAACTTAACTTTCGTTTGGGGCCCAGTTGTCAACCCTTACTCATGGTGATGAGCATCTACTCTTGTGAGGAGACTAACTGAAGTCAATGGAACTACTCCTTGGAGTGAGGGCTCAGCAGTAGAAGGACGCACAGTTGGATCCTTGACGTGTACTCCTCTGGGTTTGTACAGCACTTAGCACAATGGGGCCCTGATATTGATTAGTTGTGAGGGGCTGCTGATCAAGAATAATAATGATGTTCTTCTCTTTTCTGAGACTCACTTGGTTTCGACATCATACGTTAACAGCCTGGCAAACGTGTGGCGATGAATTTGCAATGTTCCTTTGTCTGTGACAATGATGGCGAGTTGCTTCTTTTCTCTTTCCCCAGGTTTTACACATAGAAAGTTCCACAGATCTTCTGAGGGAGTACTAGATGGTAATGCTAACTTCAGCACTATGCGTCCCAGGCTGGTGATGTAACTGCACGAGAGAACTTCGGGCAAACTTCACCATGGGCGCAAACACCTCCAGCAAGCCACCGGTCTTCGATGAAAATGAAGAGGGTAAGAGCACTTTTTTACTGTTCTGTTTAAACAGCACAGATGGTCCCTATGTGTGTTCCACACGTGGAATACGCATGTGCACCAGGCATCGCACTTTCTTGTGAGCAGTGTCCACTGTCCTGCACCTGCATTGCAGCTCTCCTTTGACTTCCACCCCTGGGCATAAAGGGCAGTGTGGGCCGACATCCCTCAAGTTCCTTCTTACCACCGCATGGTCTTGGTTGGAATCTTCAGTGTCCTCTGCTCCGTTTTGTGTCATTCCTGTAAGAATTGCATAGAGTTCATTTTTTTAGTAGTTTATCTACGGTATGCTATACTACAAGTTATATAGTGTTTTTTCCCCTTCCCAGGGACTTCCCCCCCCCCCAAGAAGTCTGGCATTATGCCCAGAGTCCTCGGGTTCAAAAACTGTGTCTCCTGCCCTCAAACCTTATCTGTGAGTGACTAACATGCCTGGGTGATGCTCACATTTCTGCCAAATGCAGCATCTGTCTCTCTTCTCCCCCCCAGAACTCTTGAAGGTCAGGAACTGAGACTCAGAAAACACCTCATAGAGAAGGCAATGAAGCCCAGTCAGATCTGGGCTGGGGACCCTCCCCTATTGATTAGCCTCAACAAGCAGGCAGTGCCCTCTGTGCATGAGCTCAGGAATGGAGGCTAATCCTGTTAAGCCTGAAAAGATGGCTTCAGAGGAGAGAAAGGGGCACTCTCGTAGACATAAGGACAAGTTATCTATGTCTAAGATTGCCCGGAAAAGAAGGGATCCTTCCCTGACCCTGTCAGACTCAGGAAAGCCAGCACACCTGGGTGCTAAGGTCTTAGGCCCACCTAAATCTTTACAACAAGAGAAGGAGGCGCCCAAGGGTATGTATCGAACAGTTCCAAAACCGGCTCTGGTGGTGAAGATTCAGGATAGACAGCTCCTGGTGCTTCCATCCACTTTGGGTACCTAGGCTGTACTAATAACAACATGGCCCTGGTGGGAGCTGACTGCCATGGTGACCAGAGAGTCTCCGGCTCAGCCAGCTCCACCAGTGGACTCTCCTCATACTCCAGGACAGTCAGAGACATACATCTCCCCGGAAGACATATTTACCCTCCTCATTCGCATTCACAGATCCTGTTGGGTCCATGTGTATTCTGGGATGTTGTTACACCAGAGGAGGAGTCTGCCACAAGGAGACAGAGTCATTCTCCCATTCCACCCACCAGCCTTGAAACACAATCCTCAGTACTCTTGATCCTGCTGGTGATGATTTGGCCTTTGCTTCCAATCAGTCAGCGGCTCCACAGGATTCTTTGCAGCACTGAGGAGAGGTGGCCCCAGACAGAAGCGCTAGAAGATGAGGGTTCCAACCCCCAACCAGACACAACTGGCCAAGGGACAGGTGGTACCCTATACTGTGGGATCCCCTCTCCATTAGTGGATCCATCTTATTGCCAGTATTGGGGATCATGGGAACCCTACCCCAGACACCCAGGCTCAATGCACAAATCCTGCTTGCCATTGCCTGGCCATATGCAACCATGGAGTGTTTGGAGGAGGAAGAAGGATCTGACAGTTCCGATGGTTCCAGGATCAATCCCATCATTATCACTGGATGAGGCAGCTTCTCCATCTTCTCCATCTCTGTTGGATGACTTTAAACAATACTAAGAGCTCATGCAAAGGGTAATGGCAGAGCTACAAATCCAGCTGGAGGAAACTCAGGATCCTCAGCACAGCTTACTAGACATTCTGCAGCCCTCCCGTCCCACAGTGTCCTTCCCCATCAACAAGGTCATCATGGATCTAGCAAAGGCGGTCTGGCACAGCCCTGCTTCTTGTGCTCCCACTCCTCAGAGGGCTAAGAAGTGCTACTTTGTCCCATCCCAGGGGGAACAGTTTTTGTTTTCTCACCCTCCGTCAAACTCCCTGGTGGTGCAGGGGGCTACAAAGCGGCCCAAGCAAGAGCACTCAAAGGCTACTTCCTCTGATAAGGGATACAAGAGACTCAACCTTCTAGGAAGAAAGGTCTTCTCTTCCACCTTCCTCCAGTTCAGGCTCTTTAATTATCAGGCTGTCAGTAACCTCAATTTTCAATGGGATAGAAAAGTTCAACATGAACAAGATACCTAGAGTGAAATGTGACTCTGAGATCTACAGAACAGCCCCTGTTCTGTAATCGCTGATCACCCAAACTTATTGGATAAGCAAAGGCCATTCATGCCTTCTGACTGCACACACCAGCTATGACTTCACTTGCCTTTCCCAACTACCAAATGGCTTATAATGTTCACCTGAGGGTGGCATTTGAAGAGTGATCCTCCCCTTGGGAGCCAGTGGTTTTGAGAAGTGCCAGGAGAATCCCCTGGTGATTTGAGGGTGAGAACTGCAGGGTTTTGGAAATGGTAAGAGAGCTTCTTGTGGGGTTGGCAATCACGAGGAGTGCTGGAGTCGCCAATCGTGAGCAGTGCTGGTTTGAAGGGTGGTGAGAAAACTGTTATACCAATAAAATAAAAACCAGCAGGATCTTATTAAAGGGAAAAAAGGCAAAATACCACATTTATTGTGAATACAGAAAGAATCATAGTAAGCAGTTAGTTATAGCTATAACATTCCATTCAATCTCATATTTATTCACACATTCATTCATACAAACACACACACACAGGTTCTGCAAGGTGTTATCATAGTTACCAGCCTTAGAGTTGCTCATGCCAAGCCACTGGCCAGGTGGCCTGGACATGAGGAGGGAGCAGGGCCTTGTCAGATGCTCATCTGATGCTCCTGGAAGTTGGTTTGCAGAATCAGACCCAAAGTTCTCACTTTTTAGAGTCTATTTTTATAGGAATTTCTTCCTATGCCAGTCTATGGGAATTGCTTCATCATGCTGTTGCTGAATCAATCAGGAGATAGCACATTCCTGATGGCTCCAAGATGTTATCTTGTTCTTTGGTTCTCCCATTCTTGAGGCTGTTGGGTGGATTCCAGTCTGCCCTCCGGGGGGGGTCCTCTGGTTATTTCCACTTGACGCCTTCTTCAGCCGATGGACACTGGATTCTTAGGCTGGCACCTCCCTGATCATTCAGTTATTATCCACACCAAGCATCCATCCACAGACATCCTCTATGTCTATTTTAATCACAATTGTTAATACAACAAAAGGGTGGGGAGTCTCTGGGTGCTGTTTCTGTTGTTAGAGTATTGCTTTGAGTCTCTCTCTCTGTGAATTGCTTTGAGAACAGACTGTCTTAGAATGTACTAACACAATTAGCAGCTTGCAAGTTTCACACACAGAGGGAGAGAAACAGTACCAAAAATCAAGAGACCTCTTAATTAGTAATACCCTGGAATTTAAACTATGGGGAATCAAACTCATTTGTGATTTTAATACAGAACTTCTTTAATATGATCCAACAAAACAACTTGAGGACGGGGCGTTTCCCTGCCTGCCTGCTTTGGACTTGGTGGGAAAGCTGCTTCAGGGGTGTCAGCATCCTCGTTGGAGGTTCTTGATAACTTTGCACTTCCAGGCCACTGTACTAGTTGTCACCATGAAACTAGAGCTCAGGGCTGATGTTACAGAACATGAGCATGCATTATCCCAATATTAGCGCTGAGAGACAGTTGCCTTGGTGCTGCTATGATTATAGATGCAGCCTTTCAAATATTGTCCCATAAACTTCCTGATGCACAGCGAGAGTCAGTTTATTAACTGCCCTATATGCTTTCACATGGCTGCATTAAATGCAATACATAAATAAATACAATTCATAAAATACTGGTGATGCGTCATATAAGCTACTGGCCTAGACCGATAAATACTGGTCAAATACTGAAAGATCACAAAAAGAAAAGGAGGACTTGTGGCACCTTAGAGACTGACCAATTTATTTGAGCATAAGCTTTTGTGAGCTACAGCTCACTTCATCGGATGCATGGTGCCACAAGTGCTCCTTTTCTTTTTGCGAATACAGACTAACACTGCTGCTACTCTGAAACCTGAAAGATCACAGTACTTAATCATTAAAATGCTCAGTTTATCCTAGCAAACTTTGACTTCCACAGGAAGTTTTCAGTTTGGTTCAGCATCTTATGAAATATATTTGATATTTGTCAGTTGCAAAATGAAATCTTTGAAGTGCCTTTTCGATAACACTCACAATAACCTTTCATATTCTTTATGCATGATGAAAGACAGCAAAATATTAAAAATACTGGAATGGTTGGAACAATTTTGTTTACTAGTTGCTCAGACAAGGGGTAGAGAAGGAACAGGAAACTACATACAAACTGGTGTCCAATCAGCGGCCTGCTGCTAGTCCTCTGATCCCACTGAGTCAGGAGGTACAGCATCTGGTTGCAGCCGTAGTTGCAATTCCCTTATCTGCTTTCACAGCGTGGTGGCAGCTCTCACTCTGTAACCCTGTGGGCCTGGGTTGGAGCTCTGTGGAGGCTGGCAAAGGATGGAAGTGTTATGGGGGTCGCGTGCCCTGGTCTCGGGTGAAGGGAGCTCCTGCAGCCAGAACTCCCTTTTCTGGTTATCAGGAATGGTGTTGATGGGCTGTACTGTATGCTGAGATGGGCATTCCTTAGCTAGCTAGAGAAATAGGGAGCAGGGGTGTGTGCTGGAGCCCAAGCAGAAACCAGTGCCACCCCCAAGTCTATTTCAGGCCTGTGCCTCAGAGCACAATCTACCATTCAAACACCAAATTCACGAAGTAACAGAAAACAGGTCTGGGCCCTGGGCACTGCAGGGCTCTGAGAGTCTCTCTTCACCTCCATGAAAAGGATACAGCCCTTCCTTTAGTCCCCTGCTGAACCTGTCAGGCAAGCAGTCCTTAGCCGTTTCCAGCTGTTTCACCCTGCCACAGTGTGGAAATGGGGAGCTGGGGAATACTGGCCTGCCTTCAATAGGGCAGAATGCCTGCCTGGCTCTCCGGAGAGCACTAGGAGAGGAACGTTGGTTGTACACCAGCTAACACGCCCTGGACTCAAGGACATAGAGCTGCCTGGG